GTGTTCGAGTCGTCCTTCACCTTCAAGTAACACTCCACGGCCCGGGAGTGTTCACCCGACTGCTCCCACTCTCTGGCCTGTTCCAGCAGACTCTCCACCCCCCTGGACACACACACACACACACACACACACACACACACACACACAGTAATGCTTAGAGGTGTGGCACGTTTAGAGGGTCGGTATTTACGAGTGTGTGTGATTTTGTGCAGATGCAAATAAAAGTGCGGATCTAGTGAATTTAAAAGTGGCTTCATTTATTCCCCTCTAGTTGTGTCACATTAACCTTTTCTCTTGTGAAGATTATTTATTTCTCCACCTTTTAGTTTTTTTTTTTTTGACATTTCAGAGACATTTCAGTCTCAGTCTTTTAGAAAACTAAAATTTGACCGCGGCCTGTGGATGCTGAAGAGAAAATTGGGAATCTTTGCAGGAATAATTCAGTGTTTGCTCACTTTCGCCCTCTTCATCGCCCGTTTCCATTGGCAACCTGTGATGTTTTCTCCCACAGGTCATTAAAGACGGGGATGGGAGGAGGATAAGAGCTGCGTGCTGCTGGTTCGCTGGCTAACGAGCTTCTCTTTACTGGGAGTTTTGGTTTGGGATAACACAAGAGCTGTGTTTAATAAAGCATCAAACCGAGTCTTTGTGCATAGATTATTCTGGCGGGTGAGTGCAGCGGAGAGAGGCCGTAAAATCTTCATACTGGCTTTTGTGGCTCTTAAGGATTTAACCTAACAGGCCAACAAAATCTAAAACCCACTGAAAGTGATGTCCCACACGGAGCAAACGTATGATTCCTCATAATGAATCATGTTAACGAGGCAGATAAATGAAACCACAAGTTTACGGCTCTCTAGAATCTTACCGGACTCCTTTTTTGGAGGACTCCCTCTCGTACTCCTCTTGGAGCGCGGAGAGCTTGAAGGGGAGATACTCCTTACAGATGCGCATGGCATCGCTCCACATATCTGCATCCTACGAAACACGAAAACAACAGATCAAGTCTGTGGTTTGAAGTAAAGTTTCAGTAAAACCAAGCCGAGAACATTTTGCAGCTCTTTGTTTCTAAACGTTCGGCTCTGTTGACCTTGTAATAGTTGACAACCAGTTCGGGTCTCTGGGCTCGGAGCAGGGAGGCTTCAGCCTTCTGGAAGTCTTTCTGTTCAAAGCAGAACTTGGCTTGGCCGACCAGAATCTCAGACACGCTCTTTTGATCGTAGCCCTCGGCCACACGCTGCGCGCTGGCCCAGTCCTTGTTGTGGACGTACCTGGAACACAGTTCACACACACATGAGCCCAAAGAGAAAAACCTGCGTGAGTTTCAAGTCCCAGGGAAGTGACGTGAACTTCTGATGCTCTGTGGTTGAAGTGGAACAGAGACTTTGAACGAGTTGAACTTCGTAGCTGAGTGGAAAATATCTGCTTCTGGTTCAGAGCTCGTCGTCGTCGTCGTCAGAACTCACATGGACACAGCTTCCTTTGGTTTTCCTGCTTTGATGAACTCAATCTCGGCTTCAGGAAACTTTCCCTGGAAGATGAAACCGAGGCAGAATTCAGGATTAACAAGATTTACTATAATTGTCATGTAACGTGTTGACAGTTCTCATAAATACACCAGGACTTTTTATACTGGCATGATAGTTTTATATGGATACCAAGAGAAATCTGTTGAAGGACAGTGAGAGAGGACACACTGTGAGAGGAGTCCACTAACTCCCATAAGAATGGGGGGGGGGGGGGTTACCTCGTCTTCCAGGTACATGCCGTGTTTGAGGTGGATCTCAGGAATCTTCTCTTTACATGAAAGTCGGGCCAAGTCGAAGGCAAAGTCAAATGAGCTGGAGACAAGAGGAAGAGCAGGAAATCAAACATCGATAACTTGCACGTGTGTTTATGTCCGTGTGTCGTAACGCAGCTCACAAGTTATTCAACGCAGTATCGATGGCGTTCTCCAGGAGGCCGAACTTGTTGAGCAGTTTGACGGCCGCCTCTCCTCCCATGTTCCGGGCCCACAGGTACGCCACCTGCTTCTGGACTCCAGCGCCTCCGTGAGTCTTCGCCACCTGTCACACAAAGGGAACGCTGTCAACGTCGAGCTTCTCCAGTGTTATTATCACCCGTTCACACACATTCACACTGTAAAGAACCAGCAGAGGAAACGTGTGTACCCTGTAGGCGTCCTCCCACATGTCGTTGACTCTGTACATGTTGACGGCAGCTTTCAGGTCTTGACCCTCCAGGAAGTGGTGCTCGGCCTCTGAGAACCAGGACTCGGCCTCAAACTCCTAAAAGAAACATTCACAGCATGTTGCACATCAACACATCTCATCAGCTTCGAACTTTGTGTTGTTAAAGAATCCACGGCAGACTTCACGAGCTGTGAGTTACGGAGGCGTGGGCCGAAGCGCGGACACTTCCTGTTATCCGGCGGATGGCAGTGAGCCGTACCTTGGCCAGGTGGAGGTGGGTCTCACTCAGCAGCTGGGGGTGATGTTTGGCCACCATGCGAATCACATCATCAAACATGCGGCTCTTCTTGTACATGGTGATGGCGAGGTCAGGCTGATTCACAGTGGTAAACAGCCTGCACGCACACGCACACGCACACGCACGCACACACACACAGGTGAATAATTGTAAAGTCGGTTAAAAACCAGACTGAAATGTCCAGATGCTGTTTCTGTTACTTCTCTGAGGTCACACATGACTTCACAGTCCTGTCGGTTTGCCCGACTCCATTTTCGTGCTTCCAGCCGCCAGTGACGAAACAAATGACTCTAAATATAAATAAAGTGATCTGCACTTACCGCTCGGCCTCTTTGAACTTCCCGTCTCCCTCCAGCTCCTGAGCTCTGCTCACGTACTGAGCCACCACTTCCTCCTCGGTCATACACTTCACTGCCAACTGCAGACGAAGACACATCCTCCGTTAAACATCGTCTTGACGACGTTCATCTCTCGTGTCTTTCTAATACACACTGACCTTGTGAGCCTCCTCCCAGCGTCCCGCTGTGGTGTACATATCTACGGCCTCTTTTATCTGACCTCCTTTCACGAGCAGTTGTTCCGCAACCTACAAAATAAATAACAGAAGATAAGAGTGAAAATCGGGCCTTGGCTGAGGAACGAGTCCTACTGAGTGTTTCAGAATGAGTTGAATATATTCAGAGAACATAAAGATATACAGGTCGTGTGCAGGGTACACTGAGTTCCACCTGTAACGACAGTGTCCGTGCTGTTCCTACGTTCTGATGAAGAAAAAGTTTAGTCATTGTTTTCCCTGGGTAATGTTTCCACCGGAGGCATGAGCCTCCTTCATTGTTTTAGTTTTCACTTCCCCGCATCTTCCACAAGTTGGAGAGCAAAGAGCTTGTTATCTTAATTACTTTCTGTGAATATGCCCATAGAGCAAACAGACGGAAATAGCCTGCTGCTATTTTCAGAGTCTGGCAGTCCGCGGAGGCTGTTTGGCTCAGCTGAGCTCATCAGAATACGAAGGGCACACTGTGCTCCACCGCTATCATCTCTCTGGCTTTTCCCTCCGCTTTGTATTTATACCAGATTTCTCTCTTTCTCTTCCGCGTTTCAACAGTTCTGTATTTTTGGTAAACTATTATTAAAACCGTCCAACTTGTCATTTTTGCCAACGCACCTTGAGCAAACGGCCCACACTGCTCCCCAGAGACCGCACCAAAGTTGATCCTGAGCTCCGACTTTACTTTAGTAGTGTGTGTGTGAGTGTGTGTGTGTCACGGCTGACTGTATATGTCCCTGAGAGAAATGCAAAAATGATCAGCCGGTGGCAAAATGTCACTGCCCACATCATCCCTCAGGCCGTGTTGGTGGCGGTGTCCTGTGTGTTGTTCATGAAGCAGAACGAACCTCCCTGAAGCCACGTGTCAGCTTTTAGTCCGAATATACAGGAAAAGTCCACGCGAAGAGCTGAGAGCCAATTTAGAAAAGTTACCACAACTAACATGCGTGTCATTGATGGACGTCTTTGAAAAATGTGAAAGAAAAAACGGTTTATACCCAACAAAAAGTATAATAACCCGTTAAGCTAAGCTAAGATCAAACTGCTTCACAGTATGAGTCAGTGTCCACTTTTAGAACGACTCTGGTTCATTTTATCCATTAATGTTTCTGAAAATCCTTCTAAAAGAATTTAAAGCCTGGAACCAGGTCGAGCAGCTACAACACGAATATAAACCATAAAACATTTGATTCAGAGAAAAAAGAAAAAGATAAGGAAAACAGAAATAATTATTTTAAGCGAGAAGGAACTACACATCCCATGAATATCTATAAACTTGAAAGTGAAATCCCGGTTGTTCTGTGGAACACGTTCAGTAACGGAACCATCCGTCCGATATTCTGCGTTATGTTCACTTCTACTTTTGGTACTTGTAGAATATTTTGTGGGCGGTACTTCTGCTCTCTCACCTCGTATTCTTTTATGGAGGCGTAGTACTGAGCGATCTTCACGTAGTACTTCCCCACCGATGAATCCTCCTGTTGCTCCAGGATGTAGAGCGCTTTCTTCCACTGACGAGCTGTGATGGCCGCCTCGATGGCTTTCAGGGAGCAGCTGAGGAGAGGAGGAGGAGGAGGAGGAGGTGGAGGAGGAGGAGGTGGAGGAGGAGGAGGAGGAGGAGGAGGTGGAGGAGGAGGAGGAGGAAACTTATAATAAGTTTATGATGTTTCTCTGAATTCTGGATTATATGAGTTTGACACCAACTCTCAACAAATGCAGTTGCTAAATGGACAAAATGGACGGACAGAAAGTTTGGGTGAGGTTTACATTAAACATGATCATTTGTTTAAGATCAGTTATAATTAATAAAGTCATAATTCTGCAGATATATACCAAGATGATGATATTTTAAATAATTCTTCATTATGCCATATTTCTTAGGGTTATTATAGAAGCCTGACCGTCACATAAACTCCCCCTGGTCTCTCTCCTCTTTCATCCTGAGTCTGGCTGCGGACTCCCTGTCTCTATTTTGGTATTTCTTGGACACAACCATGGCCGATGTCCCTTCCCAATGTCTTTTTTGCTGATTTAAAGAGTTGTGGGTCATCTCTGTTGGATTGTTTTTTTTTTTTACAATCTGTCCATCCATCTGTCCATGTCTTTGTCTTTCTCCGTCCTCTCTCTGCACCACATACCCGGCTTCAATGAAGTGGTTGATGGCGGCGTCCATCTGTTTCTGCTGGACCAGGCAGTCCCCCCAGTCCTCCTCCAGTTTCACCACCTTGGCAGGGAAGGCGACACGAGCCAGCTCCACCGCTACAGGAAGAGAAACGTCACATTATTCTCTGCAAATATGTAAAAAATAACAGATTTCATTTTTAATTAAAGTAATTAAAAAAAAAAACATGCTGCAGAACTCCTGGTTTACCTTTTCTGAAGGCGCCTCCTTTGCAGTAGCACTCCAAGGCTCTCTGGTTGTTCCCGATCTTCTCAAACAAATCTCCTGCCTTTACAGGAGACGGAGGCAAAATCCAATTATCATGACTAAATCACATATTGGGGACATTAAACAACAATTCACCTCTTCTCCCAGATTCTCAGACAGTCAGCTACCGAAAAAAAAGATGCGGGGAAATGACAGACGGATGGAGACAGTGTAAAACTAAAAACAAAAACACTGTTCCTCTCATGAGGAACATGAGGAAGAGCAGGAAAAAAAACACATCAATGATACAGATCTTTGTTAAAGATAGAGATTTCATTTCTCTTACCCTCTCATGAAAGTCTCCTCTGATCAGACCGGCAGCGATGCGACTGCCGGTGTCGTTGCTGACCTCCGGCTGGCTGATGGCGAGGCGAGCAGCTTTAGCCGGGAGCCCGGCCTTCATGTAGAGATTGATGGCCCCCTGGATGTCCCCCTGACTCTCCTTCAGCTCGCCGGCCTTCTCGTCCTGACCCGTCTCCGTCAACCACTGGTAATAGTTCCCACGCAACGTGTCCAGCTCCGGATGACCCTGCAGTCATTTTGGATCGATTTAAGTTTTACATACGGTCAAATCTGGTGCTTGAAACACGGTTGACTGGTTTATAATTTAGTCTTTAACCAGTTGATTCACATTTCCTGGTTGTATCATCGAACATTTAAAGTTTTCGAAAGATAACTTATTATTAAAAAACTATCGTTGTCATTTGTGGTTGTGTTTTGGATCTATTGGGGTCTGATCAAAATTTAGCTGCGGTCTAACATCTCCAGGACAAAGGCGTCGAAAAGGTGGGAGGCAGCTCGTCGTCTTTTCTGGTAACAAATCAAGCGAGAGCGAAATGTCTTGAACTGAACTTAGACCCAGAAAATCATTATCACCTTCGCTTTAGCCACAGCAATGCAGTCGTCCCACATGTGGAGCTCCTGGTACATCTCTATGGCTTCATCCACGGCATTCTGCGAAAAACCAAAATAACATGTCACCTTAAAACTTGAACAGCGTGAAAGTGACAAATCTTCAGGCGCGTCACTGACCTGCTCCGTGTAGTGTCCCTCCGCCAGTTCAAAGTCTTTTTCCAGCATGGCCATGTGGGCCTGGACCTGGTAGAACGATGTCCCATCTCCGTCCTTTTCAGAAAAAGACACAAACACACACTGAGCTCTCGTTTTGTACAAACAGCAAAAGTTTGAAGTAACTTCTTTATGTACATTTAAAAGCAATCACTCACACTCCACCAAATGAATATTGATTCCAGTGCAGATGGTTTTCTATTCCCACCAAGAGACGCATACATCTTTAAAGCAAATACTGAATTATTCAGGATTTGCTGAGTGAAAATTGCCAGATTTAAAGCGACTGTGTGGAATATTAATAATCAGTATCACCCTCTTAACTCGTATGTGTCGTGCCGTGTGTTTGGTCGGTGTGGAGATGTAATGGTTTGTCTGTGCCGGTCTGAAAACTCACCAGTTCACTGGACACCTTGTCCGCAATCTGGTTTGTTTGGTGCAGGAAACGAAGAGTGGAGACGTCGCCCAATGCAGCAAAACACCTAGAAAAATAAACAGAGAGGGAGAGAGTAGGCAATTTAGCAGGAGAGAGAGATTAGGGAAGAAGACACAATGAAAGAAGGGGTGAAGAAAATACTTTGAAAAGCTGTTCACTTAATGAACGGAGATAAATTAGAGCTTTTGTCTAATTAGCCTTTAGATACGCTGCAGCGTGAGGAGCTGCGGAATGAGGAAACCACTTTATTAGCAACTCCTTCTGAACAGTTGCATCAGATTAATGAACAAGTCATGGAAATAAAAAAGTAAAAAAGTAAATATATATATCAAACTCTGTGTGACTCTTTCTCACTTCCCACCCTCATTAACATGACTTCCCTCCTTCATTAACATTATCCACTCCAGACTAAATCATTTCTCTGCCCGATTTCATGAGTTATGCAAATCAAGCTGATGCCTAACGAACAGAATATGCATTATTAATGACAGAGAATTTAAATTTGAAAAGTTTCTCAAAAACAGAGAGAAATAGAGACGGAGAGAGAGAGAGAGAGAAAAGAGAGAGAGAGAAAATGCTTATGATAGAAAATAAATTTAAAAAAACGTTTCTGATGATTAATGAAGTTAGAGGAGGAGGTCAGATGGGGACGCAGCTGTGTGTGTGTGTGTGTGTGTGTGTGTGTGTGTACGTCAGTGTGTGTGTGTGTTTCACTCCAGGTCAGGAAGGTGCCCTTGTTGTTCTCCATTCTCTCCAGGCCCAAAAGATAAGTCTCGGTTACAATGAAGACTGATAAAGAATGTAATTAACTCTAACTGACGTTAGTTTGAAAGGGCTTGTGTGTGTGTGTGTGTGTGTGTGTGTGTGTGTGTGTGTGTCTGACCTCTCTGCGATGTGTAGCTGCCGTGCATTGAGAGCCAGCCTGCTGAGCTTCCTCCACATGACTTCAGTCTCTGGTGACATCTCCAGAGTCTCCAGGAATGCTCTGGCTCTGTAGAGACACACACAGACAGATATCTGAAGAGACCCTCGAGAGGAGCTGGAGGACGCTGCTGAGTTAAAAGACTTCTCACCTTTTAAAATAACATTTCTGTTGATCTGAACTCACCTGTCATAGTCTCCATCATCAACAGCCGTATCAAATTCAATGAGGCCTTCGTCCAGCGTGTACGACACCGTGTTGACGCCCTCCGTCACGATCACGTCCGTCTTTCCGTCCACTCTCTCTAGATCCACGATGTCCCCCTGAAAGAGTGGCACAGCGGTGAAAGTGTGAGTCACTTAAAGTCCGAAACACACAAAGTTACAGAGTTGTGTCCATCGTCTCCACTCACGGATACAAAGAGCACGAGCTCTCACCTTGATGGGGAACATGGTGATGCTCTTGGGGCTGTCGATGTTGTACCAGATGCAAAGGTTCCCCCGGTTCTGTGCGACCACCACGTCACTGCCCGGCACCCACTGGACGTACGGGCAGAAACCCAGCACAGTGGTCTTAAGACCGGACTCTATGTCGTACAGATGGAGCTGAGGAGGACAGAGCGCAGACAGACAAGAGATTCAGGATCTCTACACATCGTTAGTTTGACCATTTGGGAACGAGCTGGATGCTCCTGCGTTTTATTTAAGAATATAAGCGAGACGGATTTACGGATTTCTTTCATTGCTGTTTACACGTCACTTTGAGTCCTTGAAGGAAGTTGGTTCACGTCCACCAGGGCCACGTGAAAACTCTTAACGAGTTGAGATGGTGTAGATTCTATAAGCTGCAGCGGCTGTCGCAGCACTTAATATGTATGTGTGTGCACGAGAGACCGCCCGCTGCTGTAATCAGCGTCCTTAATATCTGCCCCCCCCCACCATTTTTAATAACGCTCTGTCTCCACTTCGGCCCCGGAGCACGGGCGGCCAACTTTTAATTCAGTGAGGAAGAGCAGCCTGTTGATAAATTCACATGAAAGCGAGTTTAAATGAACGAAGCAGTTTTTTATCGTTTCTTTCTGGTGGAAAATTAAATAGTTTGAATTTTCTCATATTGTCACTGATTGTTTGACACTGAATCCTATTTTCAACCACTTTAAAACACGGACGTGATGTTGCACAAATGATTTTCATGAACTGAGCTGAAGATCGTTTAAAGCATTTTCTCAACAGCAACATGATTAGTTAAGAAAAGATCAAACTATCGAATGTCTTTAGCGTCTGAAAACAGTTTTGCTTCATACTAGGAAAATAAATCTACATCTGAACCTGAAGAAATTATATATATATGCAAAAACACAACATTCTCCTTATGAGACAACATTTAAATTCACCAGATCCAGATTTTTATTCGTAGGCTCCTGATTTTTTTCATCAAGATCGTTGAGTTATTTAATTTATTTCTGATTATAACCGTCCCATCCCACAATGTTAAAGTTGGCGTTTCCTTGTAATCACATCATGTCATTATCTGCCACCGAGGTGCAGAACACCACTGAGAGAATCCCAATTACCTGAGCTGTCCATGTCTCTGCCCCGGGGCTCAAACATTAAACTGTTTCATCACCGCGGGGCAACAACTGACAACACACCTCCCTGCCACTCACAGCCTATCATACACAGAACCGGTGATCTGTCTGTGCCTCTTCTCGAAAATGTTTCCTTGGGGGAAAGTAAAATTAACTGTCAAGTCGCTTAAGTTAGGAATTAAAGTTGTTTGTTTGGTTTGTTAGTTTGCAGGATCACACAGGACCCTCGGTGGAAGGACGTGCTCGGAGTCAGGGACTTTTTGCTGTTTGAAATATATTTATTTCTCTAAAGAACTTGCTCAGTATTAATCACTTTGTCAAGTCGTGTTTTGTTTGACGGACGAGGCCCTTACTTCAGACAAACCCCGCCCACGGACAGGTTTTCATATTTCTCCAACAACAATACAAATCATCGTCTCGTCGAACCATTCGTCGCCTCTGAACCTCGTTGCTGAGGTTTCATTCTCACCTGCAGCTTCTTGTCCCTGAACAACAGTTTGCGTCCGGTTTCATTAAGCTCCAGCCAGTCAATCTTTGAGTCGTGGCTGATGGTTCCCAGATTGTAGCCTCCGGCCAGGTCCACTGAGGGGGGGGGAAGGGCAGGGAGCAGCGGGTTAACAGGGTGTTTTAATATTAAAATGTAGTCGTGTGGATGAAGTGAACCATCGAGTCCATTTTACTGAAGCTGCTGTTTTAAGATAAACAATATGCTTAGTGTTGGTGCTGGACATGTTTTAGGATATATTCTTTTCTTAGTGTGTTGTGTGTGTTGGGTTGTAATGTAATTAGTTTAATAAGCAGCGACTCCTCCTGTTACTTTTCTCTTATTCTCACCGATAGCAATGGTTTTTAAGTCGATCAGATAAGCCAGCTTCTTGTTGTCCTCCACTCCTTTCTGCTTCCTCTCGTTTATTCGGACACTGGACACACAAACAAACACACTTTTTAGAAGAGAACTGAAAAAAAGAGCTGCTGTTCGTCTTATTGGAATCCCAGGATGCACCTGATGATGACGGTGAGCAGCCAGAGGCGAGGAGCAGTCAGGGCATTCTGACACCAGCTCGCCTCAACAGCAGCTGACCATTAGTCGGTCACTGAGGGACGGTCAGTCCTGACATATCTGACAGGTCTGAATACACTGACATGGACGTTTGTCTCACTGACTCTCACTGAACGACGCCTACAAAGCTCAATGCTCCCATCTAATGGACAGAAGAGGAAACACACGGAAGATCTGGGCCGATCCGGTCCAACTTGTTCATGGACGTGTTCTTAGACACTTTACTTCCATATTAAATTGGAGTTTTTATAAAGTCAATTCAGGAAAAGGTGGAGAAGCAGCTGCACAGTTTCTCTGAAGACTCCAGATCCATAATTTTGATGAACCATCATCAAAAAGACAATAACAGCTGAGTCTCTGCACAGTCATCAACTGCACACGCTAATTAATCACAACTATAAATAAAGCACATCATGTGATCATGTGTGTGTCTGACACGACAATGACTGTGTTTGTGTAACTATGTGTGAGTGGACCCACCTGATGAGATGAGGGTTCATGAATTCTGTTCTGACTGATCCCAGGATGTCGTTGTTGTTGTACTCGACCAGACTCAGCTCCCCAGCATTAAAAATCATGCACACCTGAAAACCACATGGATGAAAAGGTGGAGTGGTGAAGTACTGTGGTGAAGTACTGTGGTGAAGTACTGTGGTGAAGTACTGTGGTGAAGTACTGTGGTGAAGTATTGTAATGAAGTACTGTGGTGAAGTACTGTGGTGAAGTAAAGTTATAGTTTTATTGAGCTCAGTGTAAATCTCATTGAATCTGACAATCGATATTTTTGCGTTTACTTACTGTTTCATT